ACCGTTGCCCGTTCGATTGCTCCGACAATTTCGAAAATTCCACACCGTGTCAGCTTCTCGCGAACAATTCAATAAAAATTATACACAATTTCCAGAATCTAGCGCGCGCGCGCGCGCGCGCGCAGAAATCTGTATACAAAGATACCGGCGGCGTGACAGCCGCGGCCGTGTCAGTCAATTCGACGGATCGATATCGAGCGCTGACAATGCGCGCTGATAACAAACGCAGCTCCAATTGAAGCGCATCGATTAATTGTCCCCTTGTCGGTCGATAAATCAAACTCACGCGGGAGCATCGAACCCGGCTATCGATCCAAGCCGCCGACGGGCGAAGGTGGAGAGACAGGGGGGAAAAAAAAAGGGAGCGCGCGCGAAGCCGTACGGGAAGAGGTTCGTCTAATTGAGAAGCAACATTGTGCGTCGTTCGGGGTACCGGACGCGGTCGAGTGGTCCCTGGGCCACCCCTGACTCGTTCGTTTCCCCCCCCCCTCCCTCCCTCTGCCGTTGCCGCCCGTGTCTCCCTTCTTCGCCCTTCATCCCCCGGAGCCCGTTTCGTCCCTCCCCTCGGCCCCCCTCCCCCCCGCGTATCGAGTTCGTTACAGATCCCCGTGGCGAGATCTCCGCCCCTCTCCCTCCCCGCCGCGCTCTCGCAATCCCCTCGCGCGCCCCTCGACGCCGTCGTTCCCGTCTCGCCCCGAGGGAGAGAGAAAGAGAGCGAAAGAGAGAAAGAGAGAGAGAGAAAGGCACCCTCCTGCTGGAGGCTCTCGCGTAGCATTCGCGATTTGCGCAACTCCGCACAACTCCGTGCGAGCGCGAGACGCGCTCGTTTTCTCGCCGTGTGTTTCAACAACACCACACGATTCAGCCTCGTGCGCGCCCTTCGCCGTAGAAACGCGTCCTTCTCGCGCCTCGCGCGGTTCCCGCGGACGAGTCGCCCGGAGTCGCGGAGGTCCGAGGTCGCGGAACGGGAAGAGGAGCTAGAAGAGGAGAGGAAAAAGATAAACAAAAGAGGAGTCGTCCTGGGCGCGGGAGAGGAAGTCGGTCGTCCTGGGGAGAAAATTTGCGTGCCGGGCACAGAAACTGCGACGGAATTGGACGGAGCGTACGGAGGACGACGCCGACGACAGCGGGAGCGAAGAAGGGAAAAGGAGGAGAGAGAGAGAAAGAGAGAGAGAGAGAGTGAGGAGAGGGGGAGAGGGAGAGAGAGAGAGAGAAAGAAAGAGGAAGGAAGAAGAGCGTCGCGGCGCGCTCCCAAGCGCGCGCACGCGAGCGCTCGCCGGCGTCGGCGAGTCGCGGATAACCAAGTCCGGAGGATCGGTCGCTCGGCACCCCTGCGAGTATCCCGCGCTCTCTCGGCCGCGAGTATCCCAAGGAACACCTCGCCTCTCCTCTCTCGCGCGCGCGCCCGCCCTCTTCCCACACGGAGGGTCAGGTGCGCCATCGAGCGCGCCGTGAGCCGTCGAGGGGGGCCGGCACACACTTGGACTCCGCGGAAGCCGATCGATCGAAAGCGCGCGCGGCCCAAGTGCCTGACAGTCGATTCGACGCCGTCGTGGTTCCTCTCTCTTTCTCTCTCACTCTCTCTCTCTCTCTCTCGCTCTCGCCGTTTCTCTCGCGCCGACGGGGAGAGAGCGGGCGGCCATTGATCTCCGTATCGACGCCGGCCGCGACCAATCGTCGACGACCCCTCTTCTTCACCGCCACCCCTGGCCGGCGTGTGGGCGCGCGTGTGTGTACGTGTGTGTCTAAACGCGCGCGTGGATTCCGCCATCGGTGTCGCTCGATCGAGTTATCGTTCTCGCGGATCGTACGTCCTCGCGGCCACGGGAGGGAAGACGACATCTTGAAGAGCGAATCTCGGCGCGGCGCGGCGCGGCGCGGCGCAACGCGGTGCGCGACGTCACCGCTGGACGACGCGGCTGGACCCTATCGGCGTATCGACGTCTCGATCCCGCAGAGGAGAGATCGCGCGCGTAGACCGTGCACGGCTACTTCCGCGCGCGCGCGCAGACCGGACCCGTCCAGAGGCCGTGTGCATCGATTCGCCGATCGACCGGCGGGCAGATCGGCGCGCGTCGAGCCACCCGACCGATCGCGGCGGCGATTTCCGGGGTGAGAAGAGGAGCGCACTTCTGGGGAGAGTAAAACTTGGCGCGCTCGGGGTGAGTTAACTTGCCGCCGTGAGCCGTCACGTCGGCGACCTAGTTCGGAGGAGAAAAAGCAAGTTCGCCGGAGCCATCACTACCGCCGATTCGCGGAGGAGCGAGAGAGACGGAGAGATCGTCGCGAGGAAGACCGCCAAGTGCCGCCAAGTCCTGGTCTCCGGAGTGTATCGGTAATTGAGCGAGGGGGAACGCCGTGACAGGCGGCGGCGTCTTTCGTGGACGCAAGACAGGTGACGATCGCGAATCGAATCGGGAGCGGACTTCTCTCATCAGCAGCGGCCGCGTAGCGGCTCGCTGGGTCGAGGTCGAGCGGGACGCGGCGGTGGCGACGGTGGCGGCGGTGGCGGCGGTGGTGGCGGTGGTGGCGGCGGCGGGTGACGCGAGTCGATGTTTATGCTCGAAGTATCGAGCCGCGCGCATCGAGCTACGTTGGTCACGAGGTATCGGAAAATCGATAGAAAGCTGACTGACGCCAGTGGCGGCGACGTCGGCGGCGGCGTCGTAGTTTTGGAGTTGCCGCTGCTGCCGCTGGTGGTGGTGGTGACGGTGGGCGGTGGGTGTCCGTGTCACACACAAACGCACACACAGCCCCCGGTGGCGCGCCGTTGATGGTGGTGGCTCAGCCGGCGAGTGTGTGACCGGCAAGGGGTCGCTTCTGTCACTTAACGCTCCGTACGTACCAAGTTATCGTCGTCGCGCCCTCGCAACCTTGTCGAGCCGAGAGCGGAGAGAGAGAAAAAAAAAAGAGGCGCCGAAAGGACGATCGCGAAGGTCGACAGTCGTTGCGTCGCGCGCGGCGCCCCGGTCTTCCGGTTGCGACTCCGACGCTCGTCGCGCCCGCGCGCGCGGATCGCTCGCGAATCGGGGGATCTCCCCGTTCTTCCGGCTCGGCGCCGTTTCCTCCGGGGTCTCTCCTTCACGTGGTGGCGCGTCGGCCCCGGCCGCGGGGAGAAAAGGCGCGAACCGGAGCACCGCGCAGGTACGACGGTAACGCGGCACACTCCGTCGTTGACGGTGTGCCGGCGGTGTTGTGATAGTGAGACAGTGGTGGTGTAGTGTGCGAGCGAGCGAGCGAACGGACGGACGAACGAACTGACACGTGGCGGGGACAGGGGGAGGAGGGGGAGGACGGAGACGCGGTCGCACCTGGACCAGGAGAGGAACTCGCGGCACGCGACACGAAGAGGCGCGCGAGCGCTGATACAGCGGTGGTAGTACGGACTGGCGTAACAGGGTAGTAGAGCGGACCAGGTGGCAGTGGTGCCGGTAGTGTGACTCGCAACACCCGGAGTAGGGACCGTTAGGGGAGGGGGGCGGGGCGGAACAAGTCCCCGACGGCGAGAGCGAGACGGGAAGAGTGCGGTGAAATCGACGACCCCCTTCGTCTTGTATTCTGGGTCCGCCTGTGGCTCTGGCTTTCTCTCTCTCTCTTCGTCGCTTCCAGCCGGGAAGAGAGCCGGTGCCGGGTGCGCTCGCACTCGGGCGCGCGAGCGCAGAGAGCCGGCGCTCTCACTCGCTCCGCACTCGCGCGGTGTCATGGGCGCACGGTGGTTGTTGCGCTACCACCGGGTGCTCCCTATGCCGATCCGGCGTGACGGTGGAGCCTCAGCATCAGCCTCCTCCACCTCGTCGTCGTCGTCCGCTTACGCGCTGTACTCGCGGGCTGGTCGCCGGGAGGCCCGTGCACGTCGTCGTTTCGCGGTCGTGCGGTAATCAGTGAAAGAGAGAGCAACCCCTTTCTCACGAGACGCGTGGACGCGGAGGAGAGAGAGAGAGGAAACAGAGAGCGGCGAGAGAAGAAAGAAACTACGCGCGCGCGCGCGCGCTGTGCGGTGTCGCGGTGCGGTGCGGTGCGATCTGTGCGGCACGCGGTGCGGTGCGACAACGCGGAGCGTCGTCGTCGTCGGCGGCGGCGGCGTACGAGCAGCGAAGGAGCGAGTGGCAGTGCGCCCACTACCGAACTAGATGTGCGTAAATGGAAGGTATAGGGGACATAGGCGATCATCAATCGCATAGCGAGCAATTACTGGACTCGGTCGATTCCCCGGCGGCGGTGTCTACGCATGGCCGGGGCGGTGGGGGCGGCTCGAATGGGAACTGTGGCGGCGGAGGCGGAGGCGCAGCAGCAGCAGCAGGAGGGGCAGGAGGGGCAGGAGGAGGAAGTGGTAGTGGTAGGGGCAGCGTGGTCGGTGGGGGTAGGCATCACAACCACCACCACCATCATCATCACCATCACGGCCACCACCACCATCACCACCATCATCAACAGCAGCAGCATCAGCACGAGGTCGTGCACGAAACGGGGGGTGGTAGGAGCGGCGGCGGCGGCGGCGGCGGTAACGGGGGTGGTGGTGGCGGCAGCGGCGGTGGTGGTGGTAACGGAGGAGGTAGCGTCGAGGGTATGTCTTCGTCGGCCTCTCAAAGGCCCCGACATCGCGTGCGCGAGCCTACCGCTGGAACTGCTCGCGGCTGGCGCGCTCGGCGTCAAGGAGGAGCGAGACCTCGCCGCCGCGGAGGATCTGTCGTCGTCCCCGGCATCCGCCGAGCGTCGGCGGTGGTGGTGGCGGTGATAGTGGTGGCGGCGGCGGCGGCGGCGGTGCCGGCGGCGGCGGCAGCGGCAGCAGCAGCAGCGGGATCGGAGGCAACGGTGACGGTGGCGGAGGCGGCGGCGGCGGACGTGCCGTCGGAGACGGCAACGGCAACGGCAACGGCAGCGGTGGTAACGGCGGCGGCAGTGGCGGCGGCGGCGGCGGCGGCGGCAGCGGCGGCGGAGGCGGCGGCGGCGGCGGCGGCGGTAGTGGCAGTGGTGGTAGTAGTAGTAGTGGCGGCGGTGGCAGGCAGAGCGCGCGGGAGTCCCTGTCGGTGATCGTGCCGCCTCAGGACGTGGACGTGGACTCGCGCGACGCCGACGACTCGGAGCTCCTCAGTCCGGGCAAGCTAACGCCTACGTCGGGGATCAGCGTGTCGGTCGCGAGCATGATCGACGCGACGGACTTCAGGGCGATGCAGCCGGAGCCGACGTATCAGACACTGACCTCGGTGGCCGAGAGGATGTCGCCGCCCGGCTTCAGCCCGGGCTCGTCGTACGCCACGCTGACGCCGCTGCAGCCGTTACCGCCGATCTCGACGATGAGCGACAAGTTCGTTTACGGCGGTCACGCGGCCGGCGGCGTCACCGGTAGTTTCGCCGTCATGCAGAACAACGGCCTGGGTAACATCGGCCTCGGTATGGGCGGCTCGCCGTACGCGTACGATAAGCTACCTACGATGAGCATGTCACCGCCGCACAATTATCCATCGCCGGGCGCGGGACTGCAACCGAGTCCGCTCTCGCCGCAGAGCGCGTACAGCCAGAGCGGCCTCAACTCGCCGCACAAGTCGTCCGCGAGTCCGCATTACGACCCGGCTTTCCTGCCGCGATTACAACAGAGCCCGGCGGCGCTTAGCCCGTCCTCGCCGCCGGCCGTCTCGGCCACGGCGAGTTTCGCGCCATCGCATCATTCCCCGCCCGGCACGCACTCGGTGCCGAGCGCGGCATCGCCGCCACCGACCATGCAAACGCAACTGCAACAGCAGCAGCAGCAGCAGCAACAGCAGCAGCAGCAGCAACAACAACAGCAGCAGCAGCAACAGCAGCAGCAGCAGCAGCAGTCGATGCCTCAGCAGCAGACGATATCGCACACGCAGCACGTGCAACACACGTCGGTGGTGATGAAGACGGTGTCGGCGGCGGGCAACGGCGGCGCCGGCGAGGTCGAAGAGATCAACACGAAGGAGCTCGCGCAGCGTATCAGCGCCGAGCTCAAGAGGTACAGCATACCGCAGGCGATCTTCGCGCAGCGGGTGCTGTGCCGCAGCCAGGGCACCCTCAGCGACCTGCTGCGCAACCCGAAGCCGTGGTCCAAGCTCAAGAGCGGCCGCGAGACCTTCCGGCGGATGTGGAAGTGGTTGCAGGAGCCCGAGTTTCAGAGAATGTCGGCCTTGCGGCTAGCAGGTTAGTCGTCCACGCGTCAGAGAGAGACCCCCCCCCCTCCGCTCCCTCATTCAACCACGTATACAAAACTCCCACCCCCCACAGACCACTCGAATCGAAACACTCAGCCGCGTTCAAAGTCCCACCTCTCTATCGCATACTTGGTGTACTTGTATATTTCTGTAAGAAAAGCGACGAGCAAAGTATATAACACTCGGGTCCTGATCGACGTTCTCGTCATCGTCGTCATCGTTGTCGTTGTCGTCGTCATCGTCGTCGTCGTCATCGTCGTGTGAGTCCTTCGCACACCTAGTACATACCGAACACCTGTGAACGAACACACGTTTGTCTCTCACGCTTCGTATGTACACGTGTACTCGCTGCTCGTCTGCGTTCTCGTCCTGCACGTCCTCGACGTCGATCCGCGATCGATGATCGCGAAGATCCCGCGGACGACGACGCCCCGTGCCGAGTCGTTCACCGGCACTTCGCGCGGCTACTTCGAATCATCCCTGCGTCCCCTCTGGGCGATCCCTCGGGCTCCCCCGGTAAACCGGAGTACTCGCCACGTTTCACGCCTCGGCGGCGAACTTGAAGTTATTAATGTCCAAAAGACGACAAGTTGAGAGTGAGAAATGCGACGTTGAATCTTTACTTTCAATTTCTTGTTTGGCTCAACAAGATTGAAATAATGAGACGTGCGGTACAAGAGAGAGAATACGCTCTTAACCGTTCGCTTCGTTTAGTGACCTCGTCGAAGAGTCGCGACATTGCGCGGAATGAAAAATGTAGTTGCCGTAGCTAAAAACTGCATGTGACAACTAAATTTCAGTTGTAAAATATGGACAGCTAATATTTAGTTGTGATAGCTAAATATTTTGCTACTGTGCCTGTTGTATTAGATGCGATAGCAAACCGTTTGCTGTGGTTTAGAAATTTCTAGTTGTGACAGCAAAATATTTCAAGCAAACCATGATTAGCTATGGTGGCGAAATTTTCCTTTTCAGTGATGTGATAAAACTGAACGAAGGGACGGACAGGTTTGGAGCGAAATTGAGGTTTTTTTTAGGACGAATTCAACGCATTCGGAACAATCGTAGGGACCCACATGTGTATTACTCACCGCACGAGCATCCAAGCGATTTAAAGATATCTTGGAACAATTCTGTAAATTGCACCTGCTCGATAGACCGCGCTGTAAGTCCTCCTCGGCGACACCCTTCGATTCAAAATAAACCGTACCCTTTCCCGCGTTCGCCCCTCTGGAGCGAGCTTGGAAAAAAAGAGCGTTTCTTCTCGAGCCGCTCGATACATGAAGAAGATCCGAAATCGCATTATTCGAAAATCTATCTGACGAGCAAAATTGAAATCGGTCGGGTTGCGAGAGGATTTGCTAGTTTTACTAATTAATGAACATTAATTCGCGTTCTGATCTCCGATAGGAAGTCCGCGGGTACAGGAGACTTTCATTTTTTATTAACACAACGGAAATCAATTCCACATGTCCGGAAATTGGCTGCTCGGAATTACTTAGCGTTTGCATATGTCCCAGCGGCTCCGAATCGCGTCTTTGTGCGCTCCTTTTAGTCCCCCGATAAATAAAATATTCGCCGGCCGGTCAAATTTAGCGACTCCACACTCGCGATCTGCGCGAAGCAGAATGGAATGTGGAATAGCTAAATATTGCGAGCTGCTAGATTGGACGCCAATGGGTAAAACAGTCGGGTGCGCGAATTAATAAAAACATACGGGAAACAACAATAAAAGTAACAACGTGGGATCGGTCGCTCAAAAGTGTCGGGAGACGCTCCACTTCTCGAATCCATTTCCCGCTCGTGGGAAATGACGGTGCCCCCCTCCGGTCGATTTACGCGGACCCCGAGAATAATGACGCGAAGGATCCTCGCGGAGATGATCGCGGGGGGATAACGTTACTCGGGGATACGCGCGCGAAAGATCCGCGCGCGCGCTTCGCACGCGCGCGCGGAGAGCGGAAGCGCACACGTGGCACCCACGTGGGAGAGGCGTTCCCTTCCATATCATTCAGAGATAGACGCGCGGAATAACACTTTTCGAATTCAACATCCTTCGTCCCCGGCGCGGTGCGCGGTGCGCGACGCTCGGCGTCGCGGCGCTCGCCGCGCCGCGCGTGCAAGTATTGATCGCGCGCGGCGGTCACGCGGCCACCACCGCCGACGCCGACGCCGACGCCGACGCCGACGCCGCCGCCGACGACGACGGCGGCGACGACGACGACGGCGGTGGCGGCGGTGGCGGTGGCGACGATGACGACGGGCGTCGCGGCGCAGCCGCGCGACCTCGGCC